TGAAATAAGCTTTTATTTGAATTCTTGCTTTAGTCACTCCCATTACCATCTTTTACCCAACCCTCTGGCAGATTATGGTATGGTATTTAAAAAATAAGGTACCTATACTTCAGACTTGAACGCGAGATTGTACAAACAGTGCGTGTTGCCAATGATGACTTATGGATCTGATACTTGTTTGACCACTGTTGGCCGTATGAGGAAGTTCAAGGCCGTTCAGCGAGCTATGGAGTGGGCTATGTTCCGAGTTTCTCTGTGTGATAAAATTTGAAATGAGGATTTCCTCAGCAGAACCAGAGTAACCGACATAGCTCAAAGTCTACTTTAAAGATACTTTATAGAAAATAAAATGCTCTAACCTTGTACCATAGTTTAAAGAGCCAGCAATTGTCAAACGCCTTTGCCATATCAAACGATGCCGCCACCCGATAAGGTACTTACTATTTACGCCATCATCGCAAATATGCTAGAGGCTGTCACGAAATTGAAGGAGTATACATGAATATTTTGTTCAATTGCTCGTATGTTAAACATGACTTAATAACTTGTCTGAAATTACTGTAATTGTTTTGATATAATTCAAGTCAACGTTGGTATTATTAAGGTTTTGCACTTCAAGATGTCTAAAATATTTTCTTGGAACTGCGTCTGTTTCAGTTGAATTTGCTTGCTCTTCAAAAATAGCTGAAATATCAAGTTCATTATTCAGCTATATTTGTAATCTTATAGTAACAGTGGTTCTGTCAAACAATAATATGGTTAAAAAGTTATATAGCTATCATACGCGTTTGATATACACTTACATTTTACCGCGTAGTATCCTCTTAGTAGTCTGTGATTTTACCTCAAGAAATGTTGTTGTGATGTATAACATTCCATAGATTTAAAGTTTTATATTATTGTAATCATATATATATAAAAAAGAATTTAACAATAAAAAACGTAGACAGAGAAACCTATTCTCTGTCTACGATATAAAACTACATTATTTGCCTTAAAATTTTGACACTTATATGCCAATAATGGGTAATATTTTCGATTTTATATTATTTTTTTTTTAGGATCATTCAGAGTGATTGATATTGCCTACGTAAAGTTTAATAAAATTGATTTTGATACGATATTGCCGATTTTCAAATAGTAACTGAAAGTTAGAAAGTTATTTTGCCAGTTTTTAACAGTAACTGAAAGTAATTTGGATAGTAAAAGAAAGTAGTACTATATAGAACAATCAAATTATGTACATTTTAAACTCAAAATGGAATTAACTAATTGGATAAAACACAGTGACGTTTAAATAGAAACATAATAGTTAGTTACATAATTGTTTGTTGTTCACCATAGTTATCTGAATTTATTCAGAAATCAACAATAGTTATATTATGGTTTACCATTATTTCTAAACTATTGTGTATGCAATCAATGTTCGCAAATTATTATTTTTAAATAAAGGTCTACATGATTCCAGAGGTCTACTTTTTCAACTAGGTATGTGATTCTCCTATGAATGGAAGTTAGAGAGAAAGAGAACGATCGCTACGTGCTAAACAAACAATCGCTATAGAAAATAGTGTCCCAGAAATATGGACAAAATAAGTGAGGCGCTGCGATCGCTAAGTTGTCTCAATAAAAGTCATTATCAGTCTATTTTTCCGATCAGATGCTAAACCACTTGCACATCCACGCACAAAATAATATTTCACCATTTTTTAATGTTTCTTTTAGTCAAAAATTAAAAACTTACGGAGCACGATTATTTTTTCACCAATTCCACGAAGAAAATTTGTACATTATTCAACTAACGTCATCACTTGTACTCATAAACAGCTAACTTCGCAGATACTACTTACTGACGGCAGTTCAGGGACAGACGGGCTATGCTTTAGCACGTAGCGATCGTTCTCCTTCACTCTAACCTACATGATGTGTAGCGTAAAGTACCTAGCGAGCTACTTTATCTGTGCGTTCATTATAATGAGCGCATAGTGTCGTTTGTCCCTCAAGTGTTGTTTATGAATAAGTTTTTTGTACCCTGTGCGTTCGAGCGCACTTTGAGACTGCACAGTAATATTTGTGAATATGCGTGTAAGGGACCTTTAAAAAAAAGAGCTTACTCCTTTCTAAAAGGCTGTCATCGCACCTACACCTGCAGTCACTTACCACCAGGTAAGACAAATATTTGATTGCCACCTCTTCTTTAAAAATATTTCATAATCAGATGGGACAGTAAACCGAAACTACCAAAGAGAGATCAGGCGCAGGACCAACGACTTTACGTGCTTTCCGAGGCACGAAGGTAAGGTAATGCCAACTTCCTAACTCCGGGCAGCTACTGAAGATTTCTGTATGGAAACACTCATAAACAGATTTTTTGGCCCAACCCGGGATTCGAACAAAGGTATCGATACCACATGATCAACAGTCGCGTTTACAACCATTATATCAACGAGGCAATTAGATCAGTATATAATATTCTATTAACTTAAAAGTATACAATTAAAAAAAACGCAAAAGTATAGTTATTAAATAGCATACTTTGAAAATGCTTAAATCGATAAATGCTATTTAGGTTAGGTTTAGGAATCCACTTTAGTGTTTTGTTAAAAATAAAATCTATTTGCACGAAATACTCTTAATAATGAAAAAGAGTAATTGAAATAAGAAATGTATGCATACGTTGTGGAAATTGCCAAGCTTTCATATGTTAAAGTTAAATTTAATACACACGCACGTACGCAACCACGCACGTCAACACGCATGCATGCATGCACACACATACACAAATACACAGAGAAATATGATTAGGTTTGTTAGTAAGGTTATGTGTTTTCTTATAATTGTCTTGTTTATATTTGCGATAGCTATGTACCAAATTTATTTTGAAATTTTAATTGTAGTCCTTTTTTTGCAAATATTTGGCGGTTTCTAGCCTATTGTGTAACGTCACCATGGTAGAGCGTTGCTTGCTAGCACAAGCAAGATTATTTGCTAAGAAGGAAGCTCCAATTGTTAAAAATTGTATTGGGTGTTTTTTTAGCTGCATGACAAGTTTCGATGGCCTTGTCTATGGTTTGATAGTTGAGTTTTGAGTAATTACATACATATACGTATAGAGAATGTTAAACTGTGTTGACATTTCTATTCAGTAAGATTTGGCAATTCCTCATGAATCGTTAAACGTCAGAACAACGCTTCCTATTTGTAGAAACTTACTTTGATAAAAATAAATCTGTTCGCGAAGTACATAGTGTATTTCGTCCATTTTATGGTCAACTTAATAGACCTAGTGAGCAAGCAATTCGTGAAGTTATTGATCGTTTTCGCACTAATTTTACTCTTCTTAAGTCATAGCCAATCAACAAGACAAAAAAATATGCGTAGCGAAGATAATGATGCTGCTGTAGCCATAAACTTATTATACTACGCTGTAGCGCAAAATGTGGAAGAAGACGCTGAAACGTCGATTTGTCGCCGTTCTCAACTTGTTGGGCTTTGTACTTCGACTGCATGTAAATTTTACGTAAAAATCTTGGCTAACGTGTCTATAAAATACATCTTGTGCAAGATTCACAGCCAAATGACCATCGTTTACGTTGCATTTTTGCTTTGGCTTATTTGAAACTAGCCGAAGATAAGCATTCGAAGAAATGTGTTTAGCGTTGAAGCTAATTTATTATAATATGGCTTCGTGTATATAACCAAAATTGCCGTATATGGAGCGAAGATAATCTTTTTGTCATTAACGGATCACCATTAAATTCATTAAAATTTAATCCAACAAGACGGCGCAACTTGCCATACAAGTCAAATTATTGCAAAATCAATTTGGTGACAACATTATTTCTAGAAGTGGTCCTGTTAACTGGCCCCCTCGTTCGTGCGACTTAACGCCTCTCGATTACTTTTTATAGGATATGTTAAGTCATTGGTTCATGCCGACAAACCAGCAACTCGTGAAGCATTGGGAACCAATATTCAATCCACCATAGACGCCATTAGGCCATATTGGAAAAAGTAGTAATAAATAGGACTGACCAAATGGAGTATGTAATTTGTAACCATGGCGGACATAGGCCGGTAATCATATTTAAAAATAAATGCCAAGGAGCTATCTACCAAATTATAATAATAAAAAATTAATTCCACCAATATTTCTGCCTTGTATTATTATTTAAATTTTTCCAGCTCTTAAAACTATCCTTTATTAGGTTATATTAGTGGTGTATAGTTGTAGCACGAATGGGTCCGCTCGACCGGGGAAGGACCACGATCTCACAGAATACCAGCGTGAAATAATAGCTAAATGCTGCTGTGTTTCGTATGGTGAGTGTAGAGAACCGGAGACCCTTTTTACTGGAAACGAGGCATTCCGTTTCGTGGACGCCACACACCGTCAGTTCATCTGATCATTCCAATTGAGCAGTTCATACTAAAACTATTAACATTTTTTAAAATATTGGATTTTCGATATATTGATAAATAAAGTCATATGTATAAAACTCAGATATTGATATATTTTTAATTATTGATACATCGAAAATGCAATATTATAAAAAATATCAAGAGTTTTAGTTTGAACTGATCAGTTGGAATGATCAGATGAACTGACGGTGTGTGGCGTCCATTAGTCTTCACGGATGAAAACGAATCTGCATTTTAACTCGTAATCGAAGATAGATGTAGATGTCTATGGGTCACAGCAACCACTTACCATCGGGTTGACTGTGTGCTCGTTTGTCACCCTATCCTATAAAAAATATTTTGTATTTGTATTGTATTTGCATGCAGTCATTCATTTATAATGGTATAATTATTTCAAGTACGTAAAGTGTTTATTCTTAAATATAATGCAGATTGCATTATGTTCCTTGTAAATAAGGTTTGTAAAAATAATAAACGCCACTGCTCATTTAAACTTTTATTTACCCGTTAATTAGCACATATAGTTATCTGTAGTGATGTTTACGTTTTGATGAAAAAACAAATAAACTTACATAAAATTATCTTATAATGTTCTTCGTTCTTCTCTTCTCTAGACCTATTTTGTAATCATCAACTGCTTTCATCATGACGTCCAGCTTAGTTTTAATAAAAGGAATAGGGTCGGGCTCTTCGTCTCCCACAATCTTGTATCGTCTGACAATTGCAGATAAAGCTGTCTTCATTGACATTAAGGCGTATTGGTAACCTGGAAAATTTAAATAATAAAGTATATAATCTTTATGTGCTTCACATGCGGTTTTTGACAGTAAGAATTAATGAATTCCCTCGTATATGTATATGACCTTGAAATCGGATTGAATCGGTCTGGAGGACATTACTTTGAATAAATAATAAATTAAAAAATACTTCATCTAGTGGCGGGCCAAGGTGGCCCGCCACTAGATGAAGTAAGTACCTTCTGGTAAAACATGCAGGTAGTCCATGGATGCACATGGATCGGGATCGTGTTTTAAGGTATTACTTGATAGTTGTTGTTGGTTACTTGGGAGGCCTTTATTAAGCAGTGAACTTGTGCAGAGCTTTAATGATGATTAATAATGATGATGATGAAATGAAAAATAACTTTAACAATATTTACCAACACAGTTCCTGGGTCCATTGCTAAAAGGCATATAGCTACACGTGTGTTGTAAATTGAACCTTTCGGGTAGGAACCTGTCAGGGTCAAAGCATTCAGCATCTGGACCCCAATATTTCGGATCTCGATGAACACCCCAGATGCTGACTACTATACCAGATCCAGCAGGAAGGACGCGACCTGATGCTAGATTTGAAATTAAAATTTTATTTACTTCCAATAACGTGTTAAACAATTTTTGGTAGGACTATTTGTAACCTTCAGTCATAGTCAATATACAAAATAGCTCGTAATATAAGTTTCAAAGATTTTTATAAGTCGTGAGCCGTAGTTTCTCAACAGATAAGCATTTGCCATAGTACACGAGCGAAATTAGTTCAATCCCGCCGCAGAAATGCCAATGAAATAATTAATGCTAATTTAAAGTGCTAGTTAACCAAGAGCTTACTGATGAAGGAAATCATTGTAAGCTATTCTCCATGTCCTAGATATTAAGAAGTCCACATTTAGGATTCTGAATAAGCCACGCTTACTCACCAATAATTTTAAAGAATAAGAGAACGAACACACATTTCACTGATGGAAAGTAGATACTGTGCACTATGTAGACATCTATATTTACCCTCTATTAATATTTTGAATGCAGATGCGTTATCAGCCCTGATTACTAAGATGGAATACCTCGTATCCTTTAAAAAACGGTCACCGGTTCTATACACTCATCATACGAAATCCAGTAGCATTATGCAGCTATTTTACAAAGGTATTCTGTGAGATCGTGGTCCCTTTCAGGACGAGCTGACTATTTCTTGCTTCAACCAATGGAGTACAGCTGCTGCATAACTCTACCATATATAAAATAGTAATCATTAAAAGACATTCAGTCAGATAAACAAAGAGACAGAAATTTGGAAAATATCAAAAATGCAGAACAGCATCAATGGTCCGAATCATCTCACATTGCGACTGCTTCGTCGGTTTAGCGGTTGTGACCGCGACTGCTTATCACGAGGTCCAAAGTCTGGTCAAAATCTCAGTTATTGGGTTTTTCAGGCAACAATTCTTGGCAACATCTATGAATTTGGTGGCGATTCAACTAGTGCATTGAAAAGCACGTAAAGCTACGTCTAATCTATCAACGGTCCTGTAGCATTACCCTCCCATCAGACTACGTGAGTTAGGGAATAGGGAGCGCACCTATATTTGCGCACGGGTTACATGTCACGCGCAGATGGCTAGTCTATGTTGAGCCCTTCACAAGTCCACTGCTTAACGTAGGCCCTCCTAAGGAATGCCACAAAGCACGCTCATGGGCTACATGCATTTATCGAATTCCTGCATGTCTTACGAGACCTTCACTCCATCTTGTGGGGGGTTGCGCTACACTTACGAACGGACTACCTACACAGTACGAGGCTTCCACTCGAGAACCTTCATTCCCCATGGGTTATTTTGTGTTTTGATTTTTGAGCTATATGACCGGCCCATTGCCACTTCAGCATACTAAGCTGAGCTATGTAGGTCACTCTGGTTCTACTGCGGATATCCTCATTTCTAAGATTATCACGCCGAGAAATATAGCCCTCTCCACAGCTCACTGAGCGACATTGAGCGTCCCCATATAGCCAGCAGTGAAGGACCAAGTCTCAGTTCTATAAGTCATAACTAGCAACACGAACTAGTTGTATAACTATATACTGCCATTAATAAACATTATTTATTTCGAACATCAATCTACCTGTCTTGTATGACGCTTATCACAAATACTCCCTACAACAGTAGAGACCCATATCCAGCCGTAGACCGTAGAATAAGAGCCGATAAAGAAGTAGACAGATAGATATATACTCACGTAATACAACTTCCTCTAAAACTTTTCTTATAATGAATGGAACCGGAGGATACAATCTAAGTGACTCCTTTACCACCCTTTCGAGATACTTTAAATTTATTAAATCTTCTTTAATCAATGGTCGATCTGAGTCACCAAATACTTCTTGTAGCCTATAAGATAGTGCATTTTTTTAATTTACATTTATTTTTCTAAAAATAAAGTGACAAACGAATTTACAGTCCACCTAATGTTAAGAGGCTGCTGCAGTCGATGAACATCTGCAGCCAACATTAAATAAGAAATCTACGGATGCGTTGTCACTTCTGAAGTGCTTTGTAGCCCGTTATTATACTGATTCTATATACACTTCAGACCTGAGCACAGGACATCTTTACTGTCTAGAAGTTTGTCTAGGTGGATACCACCCACATAAGTATTTATAGCGGTTAATAACATTGTTTGTGTAAGTCTGAAGAATAGAATTGTAATATCGTTCTCGATATTAAATATGGAACAGGTATAACCTAGAAGATAAAGTAGTGTTTAGTGAAATAAACAATGAAGTCGTGACGTTATCAGCATAGTTTTACCATAAAATGCGTCATCGCTAACAGTCAGGTTATTTCCTAAGTAATTATAATGCTTTTTTTATAGGATAGGGTGATAAACGAGCACACAGTCCACCTGATGGTAAGTGGTTGCTACGGCCCATAGATATCTACATCTATCCTCGATTACAAATCAAAATGCAGATGCGTTGTCACCCGTGAGTACTAAGATAGAATGCCTCGTTTCCAGTGAAAAGGGTCTCCGGTTCTCTCCACTCACTACACGAAACACCGCAGCATTAAGCTACTATTTCACGCTGGTATTCTGTGAGAGCGTGGTCCTTCCCCAGTTGAGCCGACCCATTCGTGCTTACATCTATACTACTAATATAACTGCAGCATGGCTCTATTATGTATGAAAAATACTTTTGATAATCTCAGCAACAACAGAACATTCTCAACAAAAAGTATACGAGGCTCTCTTTTTTTCCAAACGTGCCTGATGAAACGCTTATAATAAGATCAGAGGTAAACTTGGTTACAGTATTAGAACACCGTATTATCGTATTAACAATATGCATGTCCTCCAGACCGAATTTTGGTCCCGGCGGCCAGTCTCAAAGAAGACTAGCCTTCTGCGCAGGACAGGATTATAATGCCCAATTGTATGCTTAAGCACAGGTGCACTCTCTATACCCTTACTCTCATAGTCCGATGGATCGGTAGTTCGACACGACCGGATAGAAATAAGGCGCAAGACCAATGGCTTTACTTGCTTCCGGAGGCGTGGGGCTGAAACACTGCCAATTTCTTAACTCTGGGCTGATACTGAGAATTTATTGACAGAAAAACTCAATAAATGATTTGGGCCGACCCGGGATTTGAAACCAGGACCTCATGATTTGCAATCGCGCTTATGGCCACTAGACCAATCAGGCAGCCCTTAACAATGTTACCAGGCTTATAAACAGACAAACTAAACAAACTAAATCTCATACCCACTCGCTTTGCTGGACGCACGATAATAGACAATAATAATCAATACAAGATAATAACGTCAAGAGTTTTTTTCATGGGACTATCGTAAAATCCGTCTATAGTTAACGTCTATTATACATTGCTGAATGAGTCACTATACTAAATTTAAATTAAATCGGGTGTACAGTATATAAGTCAGTCATTAGTTAGATATTAGTTAGTGGTATTTGGCTTATATATATATAAAAACAACTTACTCTTTAAAAACTCTGTCTTGTACCTCTGGATATTTTGCTAACATCTTTAAGGTATAACCCATCGCCACAGCAGAGGTGTCTGTGCCTGCTACACTTAATGTCAGAACTTCTTCTCTCAACTCCTTATCGCTATAACCTTTCTCACCGCCAGAGAGATTTATCAAAAGATCCAGGAACGATTGTCTTTTGTAAAATCCCAGGTCTAAAAATATAGCATTTTCTTGTTATATAATTTCCTAATTACATAAAGTTCAGATATGTAAGTTTATTATCATCTATTAACATTACAACATCCACAACAGTCCACTTCAGAACTTGCGCCTTATGAAATGGTAATATTTAGAAAATTTTGGCTTACCAAACTCGTGATCCAACTCTGAGTGATAACTATTTTCCTTTTTTAAATTTTCTCTCTTGTTATATATAACCTTAAATTTATTTCATTATTTTACAACATATAGGTAAATTTTCAGATAAATACAATATTTATAAACATAATAAAAAAGAACTGTTATAATATTATTAAATTCCAAAAGGAACTGTCATCGCTACTAGTAATAAGAAGGCTGGATCTTTTCTCGTTAAAAGGCTAAGTATAGTAACATATATTCAGCGAGGATACGAAGTCAGCGTTTTTCGCACCATATCACAGAAAGCAGGATTGTATGATAGTTTAAGTTTAAGATGTTAGTTTTTTAACCTATAAATATTTTTATTTTTTATTCAGTCTTAGTCAATTTGGTGGTGGCATTGGAAGAAAGTGTCCAAAGAACAAAACGTTACAGCGATCGTTAATCCGCCCGCCAGGCGTAACAAAACTTATTGAAAGTCATTTTTTATTTACCACTGGTTCGCAAAAAAAAAATCTCAGTTCTGGGAAGAACCAGCAAGAAACCCAACGGGACTATATTTTTTAAAATAATAGCCTACAATCATGTATGTTACAATAAACAATACAAAACCTTTTTATACAAACTAAGTTTAATAAAGTTACTGAACTTTGTGTATGTCAAATTTTGTATATTTTCTGCATTGACTTTTTCTAGGATTTTGTTGTAAAAGCTTCTGTAAGAGTGACTGGTACTACTAGCTAGCGTCTACTCCTAGTATTCATAGAACGAATATCACTTATTTTTGCAAAACTACTTTTATAATTGTGTACTTACATTATATTTTCATAAATGTATTGAGCGGCCATACTTAGTATATATTATATATTATATTTACATAAATTTTTGTCTGAGCGACTATTTTGATTTTAAATTATATATTGCTCTAATGGCCCTCTTCTGTAAAACAAATATAACTTCAGTGTCAATCGCGTGTCCCCATAGCAAAATACCATACGACATAATGCTATGGAAATAGTTAAAGTTTACTAAGTATTCTAGCTGTTTTAACACTGGTAGGAGTTCTAATCTTTTTACAGCATATGCTGCAGAACTAAGTCTGCTAGCTACTTTTGATATATGGGGGAGCCATTGAAGCTTTGCGTCCAGTGTGATTCCAAGATAAATGGTGATATCATCAAGACTCATTTTTCCCCCATTTAAAATTACATTAGTATTAACATATTTGACATGACATGACAGAGTTACGAATTGCATGCATTTAGTTTTAGTTCCATTTAAATGCAAATTATTAACATTAAACCAATTGACTAACTTAGCTATAGAATTATTTACTTCGTTGTAATTGAATAACTGTCATTATAATTTAAAAATTAATGAAGTTATCATCAGCAAATAATATTCTATCATGGTCGTCCCTTACTATGTAAGGTAAGTCATTAATATGTACAAGAATTGAGCCCTGAGGCACACCCATTTGTACAATCGACACGGAAGAACTCATACTATTAATGACAAGTTTTTCTGTTACTTAAATATGGAATAATTAGTTTAAGAGCATCACTTCTTACACCATAGTGTTGAAATTTCCTGATTAATGTTTCATGGTGAACACAATCGAAGGCTTCGAATAGGTCACATAATATACCCAAATCGTCCTGTGAATTAGATAAAGGTAAATTTTCACTACAAGCTGAGAGGCTCTTATCAGCAGAGGATTTTACTGGATGATCAAATTAAATCATGTATGAAATCAGCCAATTTACAGATAAAATGGCGTTTAATAATGTAACAACATCTTTGTCAAATGCCAACCTCACCACACGTAGTACCCTACTTATTAAGGTATAAAGTGCTAGCAATAAACAAATCAAAGGTAAAAACATTCATTCGAAAACGGTGACCAAAATTCCATAGGCTATTTGGGGAGCATAATTACCGTCTTTGCAGCCTTGAAAGAACGCGCAAATCTATCTATAAAAAGAATAGTTATTATTAGTTTACTTGCTAACCCACGTGCTCTTAATAAAATCCTGTGCCTACGCTGTGAAATGCTTAGCTTTAATTATTATCACTAAGAAAACAATGGGTATTTATTTATTACTATAAACATGCTAAATAATTTCAGTTAAAGGTATGCGCACTTATTCACTAAGTTATCGGTTTTGAAACAAAAAATAATAAAGTATTGGGGCTAATTTCTGTCCAGAAGTCGGTCTGGATTAGTACTTATTTTTGCCACCAAGCAGCATTGTCGTTCTGGAAAGCAGAATCCGGGAGCAAGTATGATGACAGAGTCTTCAGAGGTGAGTAAAGAATCAGTGATAGTCTTGATCGTGACCACTAGCGAATCACATGCATATAAGAAAAAAATATTATATAAATAATATATTCTCATATAAAATGAGTTTAATAATGCGTTCCAGTTTTGCCAAAAATATCAAGCTTAGCACGTGATAATCGATCAATAGTTAATTTTAGTTAAGTTATGGCACTTACCTTATCTGTGAAGTCGTGCGTCACCTTTAAATATTTCTGGTGCTTAGAGTACTGTGGGAAGAATTTGTACAGCCAATCAGGTTGTAACCACAAGTGAAAAACTCTTTCACTCACTAAATTGAGCAAAATTTGCATCGCTTTTAAAAATGGAGCATTTGGGTTATCTTGTGCATTTATTTTTATTCCCATTGCCGTTTCTGTTAAGATTAAAATAATATTTCGTAAGAATTATAGTTATTACGAAAAAGATTTTTATTTTTTTAACTTTCTTAACGTTTGCACTTCTTCTTTGATTTCATACATTTTTCAGTCAAAAACAATTTATTTTTATAAGCACATATTCAATAAGTATTAACCTATATGGCCAACGTTTATTAGTTTATTGATGTTGCTGAATAAGACCATATTGCTAACTATTACTTCGCGTGTATTTTCCATACGACATCAATCACATGAACTAATAGGGTAGAAAGGTAAGCGTCGTTATCCACTTTATTTTAGATACTTACTTCTGTTTTCTCACACATGTAGCAACTACATTTTAATAAGAAACTTTATTATAACCGGAAAAATTACGCACTGTGGTTATCCCCCAGTAATTACTAGGTACTTTAGTATTTGTATGACACTGAAGAGGTGTGATAGCCCTAACATCAAGTCGTACTAAATTTATTAAATTAATATTTTTATTTAAAAACTGTGTAAGATAAAAATTGTATAGTTGAAAAAAAAGTCATCAGCTCCAGCGTTTCGATTGTGAAGAACACATTAATATCTTTACAAACTTAATAAAATAAAGAATCAAGTTTATCATACTTGTAGAACTTTATTTTTATTTAAATATTAGCGATATTCGGCTTCGCAAGGGTGATATCTGGATTCTACATAAGCGTACAGCGTACCGTGTCCAACTATGCTTATAAACTTCACGTAAGTGTAAGCAATAAGTTAACAATGTTTTAGCGCAACCTGATGAACAGTATTGCAGCGCATAAAATACGAACAAATAAATATTAATTTTTATATAATTAGATAGTGTCTTTCTTATATAGTCCTTCTACATAACGTTCGTAATAAGCCTTTAAATACGCCCTTAGGAGTGCATTTTTTATAGGTTAAGGGTAACAAACGAGTACATAGTTCACCTTCATTTGTCCTGGATTAAGGATCTGAAGACTAGGGTAGAATACCTCGTTTCCAGTAAAAAGGGCCTCCGGTTGTCTACAATCATCATACGAAGCACAGTAGCATTAAGCTGTTCCCGGTCGAGGCGGCCCATTCATGCTACAACTAAGATATCTACAACATGACTCTACTGCGTATATTTTCATATAAATTTATAATATATTAGTCATTCATAATATACTAATTGGTTTATAATTAAATGCAATAAATTAAATGCATGCAATTTTACCTACCACCCACAGCGTCGAGCGAATAAGTGCTGAGGAAACGCCAAACGCTAACTTGGCCACAGCCTTCAACCTCCTTTAATTGTACAGCTAGCTTCTCGCTTTGCTCCGAAAATACTTCCACGAAATTTTCAACTATTTTTGGACTAAAAGCTGGTATTAATATCTTACGCCGTTTCCTCCAGATTGCCACTAAGCAAAAACATTTATGTAAATAGTAATTATTATTACCGCAAGATCCACAGATTATAATATATTCTAAAATTTAATTTTAAAATATTATTTTAAACGCTTTAAAATATTATTAAGACTATTTATCAGGTACTCGACTCCAAAAAGTCAGTAATTCCTTCATTAGGTAATAGGTTTTTATAGGTATAGGTTTTTATAACAAAGTCCCTGAAAATATGCTATCTATAAAAAACAAGATTTCATCATTAATAACATCCCCTGGATGATGAGTCTTATGACTAGCATCCAGCAGCCGATTGAAATAAATGATAAAGTAAGAGAACTAAAAAATAAAAACATACAGGGGGTAAAATTAAAAATTTTGTACAATCGCCTACAATGCGACCGAATCAATGTATTCAAAGTCAATTAAATACGCATTATTTAAGGATAGCTCAAAACTACCGGTCAGATCTTGATCAAATTTATATAGGACCACCCGAAGCACGAAGCACTTACTTTTAACTAAAAAAAGGATCATCAAAATTGGTTCACCCAGAAAAAAATTCTGATGTAAACACACATAAAAAACATACTGTAGAATTAAATACTTTCTCCTTTTTGAAGTCGGTTAAAATACGTTCGTTTACATTTGTGATTTCCTTACGTTACGTATTGTATCTTCATCATTACAGCCTATCAAAATCATCTGTTGCACATGGGCTTCCTCCATAGTTTGCCTCATATTTTCAGAGTTGTCTCACTTGGCAAACGGGTTGGCAGCTGTGTTTATTTTTAAATTTATTGGGTTGTTATTAGGAAGATGCATGCCCATCTTATATTTCAATTTTTCTCTGACTTTTCTTACGGCGTCTACGAAATGATATGGACTAACTAGTGGATTCTATTACACCCACTACACGGCGTATATGGTAATATTTTAGGGTTGCATAATTACTAACTATGCATTAATTTTAACTTAAAATACCTATTAATAGAACTATAAACTATTTTACCCTGCAGTTATTTTGTATTCTTGTAATTTACTTATTTAAATGTATCAACATCCTACCTGGTGCAAAAATTACCCCATTTCCGATAACTTTTTTCATAAAACGATGTAGATCATCCTTCTCCAAACAGGTTTTTAGCACCATCTCCAGGTCCAATGGGTCTACAACGACTGTTGAAATAACATTAAATGAAGATTGGTCTCGTAAATGTTTAATAGATTACAACGTGTTTAAAATATTTTCTAAAACATGTTTATAAAAACCACATTAATAGAAGGAGTTTTTGAAAAAGGTTTTTATTATGTATTCTTTTCACGTGCAAAAGCGTGCAATAAGAATACCTGCAAAGTTTATAGATGTACAAATTTAATTAAATGAGAAAACTTAGATGGCGATATATGCAACGCGGGCGGCAATTAACCAAAAATACAGTCATACACATAGGAGACACTGTCATGTCTACGCCAGTATATTCGAAGTCTATGAACGTCGCCGACGACGGTGTTGTCAGGTTCAGAAATTTGACTAATTTTAAGCGAATCTTGTTGAACCATTTACTTTATATAACAATAATTTATTTATAGTCATTAATAAAAAAAATTACATGAAGTTTTTACATGTTTTTATAATCAATGCATCACATTATGTCGCACAAATATTATAATACTTTACTTACAAAAGTAAAGGATGTGTCCTAGCCATGCTCGCATAATACCATCATTCTTCATCGCAAGATAGCAGAATTTTCGCAATGTTGTCATTATATCTGTAATTAAATAAAAATATAAAATGTAACTATTGCCAAACCTTTAAATAAAAGTTTTAGAAGAATGGCCATAGCTTTTTTCAACCGACTTCGAACAGGTGACGTACTCAATTAAACTGAATGTTTTTATGTGTGTTACCTCAGAACTTTTTTCTGGGTGAACCGATTGTGATGGTTTTTTTTTTTAATTTAAAAGCTTGTGCTTTTCTTTTGGTTCCATTTAAATTTGATCAAGATCTGAAAAATAGTTTTGAGTTATTCTTAATAATGCGTATTTAATTGACTTCGAATACATTGATCACGTTCTCATTTTGTTCATATTGAAGTCGGTTGTACAAATTTTTTTATTATACAACTTGTCCCATGTCATACTATCGGCTCATCTGATACACCTGTAATGCCGTGAAATATTTAAAAATTAACTTTGACCTCTCCAATTTGTCAAATATCTGGTGTTAATTTACTTGTTATTTTCATATCAAAATCGTGTTCCAGGAAACCAATTTTGAAATTGTAATGTACATTAATAATTTTTTGTATAATTTTCATAATAAATACGATTGCATATACACTATAACATACGTTCTACGATTTCATGAAACCCACAGCTGGGCACAATCCTTTACTAAATTTAAGGCGATTTCTTTATGTATCTATGTATTCTATTCATCGTTTCATTTATGTACTTTCTGCACACTTAAAGCAAAAATAAATTTGTATTAAATGACTGCTTCTTTTAGTCTAGTGGTCGTGACGCGATTGCTGATCATGTGGTTCTGGGTTTACTTATTATATACTTATTATAATCATAGGAAACCCTAAAAATACTGCTTTATAAACATGCTATTAAAGCGGACTCCAGCACGTATAGCACCCTCGACGGAACCCAGGGAATCACCATTTTCCAAAACATTAGTAATGTATTAAATGTAGATGTACAAAAGCAAGGGATTAGAGATATATTTAGGGTTAATACTAAGACAGATAACTGTTAGCCAATAATTGTCGAGTTCATCAATAAAATATCCAGGGATAAATTTATCTCAGCAGTAAAATCATTTAATAAGGAAAACGCAAATAATAAATTAAATAATACCCGCTTAAAAATTAATCAGTTTCGTACACCAACATATGTAACAGAAACATTGACAGCAAACGCTAGAAAGCTGTTTTTCGCGAGCAGAGAATTTGCAAAGGAACATAAATATACGTTCTGATGGGTTAAATTTGGACGCATATACTTAAGAAAAGAAGAAGCTATGAAACAAATTCGTATGGATTGCGAAGCTGATCTGCAAAAACTCAGAGAAAATGTCTATTAGATTTAATTTTTTGCATGATCAAGTTAGTATTTACAGTATAAAATAAGTTTAATTGTATAAAAGTTAGTTATACTATATTCTACCTTTTCATAAGCTGGTTACTACATTTTAAAAAGCAAAATTATTTTCTTATGCACACTTAAACAAAATACTACTCCTACTTCTACCACACACCACATAATGTTACGCATATTTCATATATATCTCAATAAAATATAAAATTTATAAATATTTACATATTGCAAAATAAGTTTTCATTTCAAAACGAATTGCTATTTACGTTGTTATATTAGTGTACCGTTCGTACGACACCTTGATGTTTGCTACTAATTACCAAATCGCATGTAAAAAGAAATTAGCATATATATAAAACTATGCATTTATAAAATTAAAATTCAATCCGTTTAATAATAATATTACATCTGACTTGGATAAAAATAAAGCCAACTGTACTCTGATTGACATGATGGTTCCGAAAGTTTTTACATCCTTACTGCAAATATACGGAGTGTAAACCGCAACTTCGATTCGCTATCGGCACTTGATAAAACAATGGATATGATAGTTTTAACCGAATGCTGGTCAAGAAAAGATATGCCTTCGCCAAATATAATTGATTACAATGTACATTACTCTAAAAAGCTTTTCAACCAGAATGATGGCATAATGGTATTGTTCGTATGGTCTTTACAGTTATCGCCTCTGAACCGGACTTTATAGAGGGAAACTGCCTTGTTCTTGAAGTTGATAGGTTTTTGGTTATTTTTTCATATCGACCAACCTGTTACGCAAACCCTGGACGATATCCAGAATCCTTAGATAGCTTATTACAAAAATCCTTTAACACGTACGTCATCATTACAGGTGATATAAACATTAATACGATGTCTTTCGACATTCAAAATAATCATTTAAATGAACATCTGTGCATATTAGCCACTCATGGCACAGAACAAGTTGTTACACATCCAACGAGGCGTAACAACTGTCTCGATCACTTTATGATAAAAACGACTATAAGTAAATGGCAAACCATGGTTTTCCACCAATAACAGATCGCAATCCTATCCTATTACAAATAAAAAACACTCGACTGCCGAACATAAAAAACACACAAACCAAACAGGTACTAGACTACATCCGGGCGTTGGATAATCTAAATGTCATGGACTGGTCAAACTATTTTACGTTACGTGATGTAAACATAGACTTATTATACTACTGCATAGATGTAAATCAATCTGCGGAACATCTTGTCAATTATATTACGAATTTCATTAACGAGTGCACTAGCACTAAGTACATATCAAAAAAGAAAGCATCTTTAGCCTTGGATTATGATAAGCGTTGTAAAATCAATTCGCAAAAGAAATAAGTTGCATAAAAAGGCCAAACTATCTGACGCAATTGACACATATTATATAAAACATAGGAAAAACTGCAACAAAATAATAAAATCTTTAGCAGCAGTATTATCAAAAGGAACTAATAACAAGTTAAAAAAATATTAAAAACACCTGGAATTTGATAAAGGACATAAATGTAATATGAAAACGAAAAACTAAGTGCCCCCAGAGTTGCCTAAGTTTGGGAGCACTACAAAAGAATCGTTAAACAAAATCAATATAATCAGTCTGGCGGACATCATCCTACAGAAAAACGGAGCTGGAAATAGCAAGGCAAGGGTTTGTACAATCAAACTCCCAGCATCAATCGATGTCTTTCGCACTCACAGACCCTTGTTGAGTCACCTTGGTGTCCATCTGTGTCTCTCATAGACTATTTGACATAGATGAAATTTTGAGCTGAGCTGAATTGAACATTGAATTGAAAATGGCGTAGTTATAATAATCTACGGGATTATAAAAGTGAGTTCTTCATAATTGCAGATTTGCGTTATATTTATATATGTAATTTTTTTCTTTCGTGTGAATTATACGTCTATTAACACCTATTACTTTTATATCAGGCGTGTCTTCTGATGTATTATTTTATGTAATGGTTGGACTTGAAATTAAGTCACCTGAAATTGAGAATTCTGTCACTGTGGGAGGGGGGAGGGGTCAAGGGGGTTCGTCTGAAGCACCCCCATGAAATTTTTGCTGCCGGAACGGCGTCAAAGTATTTTCAATTATTTTTTTAAAATATTTGTAAATCACTAACTTAACGTGAAATGGCACGTACATTTAACTAAATTATAACATTTTTGAAGTTACATCTTTCAAAGTCATCTCAAAATGCGTAAAAATGAATTGCTAGGCCGTCTATTTTGTTGACAGTGACAGATATACTTCACGTCATTCTGTAGTTTCTAAGTTTACATGAATGTGCTCCCTAATGTATTTATCAGCCTCCATCAGTTTTTCGATTACTTCTATACCCCTCTGGATCCTTTTTTACAAATTAATTGTAGCTATAAATTATGTTTATAATTTAAAGTAGTTATAAAAGTTAATATTTTGTTGTTTTATTGACAGTAAGAGCGAGCGAAGCGAGCTCGGGACTTAGGTCACCCCGACTTGGATAGATTAGGTTAGAAGTTATTTTTCCCTTCGTAGTTATTTTTTTTAACCACTCAGAAGTAGGAGCGCCGCGAAGCGGGGCTTTGTCAACATGGCTTCCTTCGACTGCACTACGTTGAGTGGCGTGGGGCTTCCCTCCCCCAACTCTCTCCCTCTATAATTAAGGTTTATAGTCAAAACATTAAGAAAACATAACCTCAAAATGAGATTTTTAAAAATTTATAAAAAAAAACAGGAGGGCGGAAGTGGGGGGCGACTCTATAACTTATCTGGAATCAGCTTTTACCGTTCATATATATATATTTATAATAAAAATTATTTTAGTTTTGATAAAATAGTATTGAATTTAATGGTCTTTTTTAATTTACGGCACAACGTTTATTTGCTGTATTTAGTTCATATCATTGGCTTCATTGAATGTTAACTGGCACCATAAAAAAGATAGTTACTGATATCTTTTACATTTGAGTAGATACCAAAATTTCATTAAATTAGAGTTCTATTTATGTAGAACGTGAGAAGAACGAAATAATAAACAAAGTGAATGTATCATTCAATCACTTCCCCATACCATTCTGCGGGTATTGTTAGCTGAAAAACTGAAACAGGAAATGGGCAGCAGCACCTTCCTAACAAAGCTTTTTATTGTTTTGAACTGTCTCAAAATAACAAAAAGCTTTGGTTGTGTCATGATAAAAAAATGTTGCAATTAAATTGATAATTGAGATGGGACTTGTTTCCGAACTTGATAAAAGGATTGGAGGGTAGGAACTGAGGCGAACGGCTGAGGGCGGGGTTCGCAACGAGTGGTGACAGAATAAATAATGGTACCTACGACGTAGCGGTAATTCTTGTCAGACATTTAAAGTTTAAAGGCGTATAAGTTTGCTTAAATATATTAAGACTGTGTATCAGTGAACCTTATATATTTTAAATAGAAGCTTATATTTGTGGAACGTTAATTTTATAAGCGCAACGGTGTAAGTGTTTAGTACTATACGCTGTTTGGTAATCTGAGTAATCCTGGAACAGTATTCTTAGATTGTGCAATTATTTCAGTCTATGAAAACGACCATCAAGTTAATTGTGACAATTACGCCTTCCTGCATCTCTTTATCAGTAAAATTTATTTGTCTTAAAAGATGAGGACAGTGAAAGACAATACTATATCCTTATTTGAAACAAATCGTTGTCGACAAGTATAGCCTATTACTTAGAGCGGCAATACATGCATCGGGTAACTTCCTCACGTTCCTGGTTCGAGCCCCGAGTAGTGATATTTAGTTCTTTTTATTGTTTTTCCCTTTTTCTTTTTATATTTAGTTTTTTTAATTGTTTCCCCCTTATACATTTATAATTCGTATAATTTTATAATGATTTTATGCTCTCATGTACGTAATAAAAGAACTAATAGTAAATTTTATGTTTCGTTGCTTGTAATTTTATTTTGCAGTTAATGTGTAGCTTTAGATTTTGCTAAGTATTAAGTGCTTACCTATTTTAGTGCTAAGAGTAATGTAGATTATGCTTAAGAATTATCTAGTTATTTGCTTTGTAGTGTCTTTGTTGTAAGCCTTACATGTTTCTTATAAATATCTTACACATTCACACATTTGTTTCCTGTCTTACCCGGACCCACGGCTCGAGCATACATGACAGTTGCCTGCCGCAGCAATTGCGGCAAAAGTTCAGCCTATGAGGCAACCTAAAGATGAAGCCTATATTCTTGCCGTGGACTTATAGTAACTGTAAATATAACAATGAACGTTACTTATCTCATCTACTGCTAATAATTGCGTTATAATGAAAACAAAAATGTACCTTCGAAAATATGAATCAAATTAAAATTGCCCTACAGCCCCATTAAAGTAAAAAGTAGAAGCATAGATAAATCCCACTACAAGGCGCAGGCAGCAGAGGGTTTTGTGGCACAGTATGTGTTATCTTCAGTAGTGGATTATTTAAAGACTGTTAATATTGATTGAATGATGGATAATATCTTGGAGGCAGGGAGCAAAGAGGAAGATAGTTAATGCGTTCGAAAATCATTTACTGGTAGTTGTGATGAAGAGGTAAAAGATAAGCCAGATCGCAATCGTGCCGCGGTTATTCTACAGTATACTAAGTCATAGACTAAATAAATTTATCAAAATATTTTTGTTTTGTTAATGGCACATTAAAAGGGGTGTCTATGGAATATAAAAACGGCAACAAACTTGCTAAATAATGAAGGTGAAAATAATATAGCGAGTGAAACGTCATCAATTTTGTTATTATTTTAGGATACCCTCTATGCTAGTAATTACTCTGAAAATTTAGATTCTTCGCCGTTCATACAACTCACTATATCAATGCTGAGTTCTTGAGGATAATGACGAAAGCTTGAAGTTGTAGTTTCCGAAGATTGTTGGTTGTGTGTTCAGATCACGTCGGTTAGTAACTAGTGTGGCGGTGGAAGGAAAAGGGGAGATCTCCTGCCGGGCAAGGTGTTCTGCCCGGGATCAATGTTGAGTTTGAATATAAGAATTACAAACGAACTGTGCGTTTTTGGTTCAATAGCTTTCGTAGTGAGAACTTCCACTTGAAGAATATAAACGCGGTAAAGCCATGCTGCGGCTTTATAAGAAGTATTGTTGTAGCACAAATGGGTCGGCCTGACCGGCAATGACAAGGCTCTCATAGAAAACCAGCGTTAAATAATAGCAGCTTAACGTTGCTGTATTTTGCATGGTGAGTGCAGAGAACCGGAGACCCTTTTTACTGGAAACGAGGTATTCCATAATAGTCGTCACGGGTGATAACAAATCTGTATTTTGATTCGTAATCGGGGATGAATGCAGATATCTATGGGCCGTAGCAATCAATTAACATCAGGAATACTGTGTGCTCGTTTGTCAAACCTATCCAATAAAAAAAACTACGAGGAAAGCTGTATACAAAAGATAATAACCATGAATTTAAAAATACGGTAATTTACTCGCAGTATTGACTCATATGCACCAACTAAGTGACATAAAACATCAATAAAAAAAAAAAAAAAAAAAAATATATATATATAATATATATATACTGCTTTCACTCGTAATATGATATTTGTTTGAATTAGTGCCAAATCGAATCAAATATATCGAACTTCAAACTAGCTTACTAATTCGGAAATTTCAAGGCCCAAACCAAAAATAATATTGATATGATAACTGTAAATAAATGATACTGCAAATTAAAATAATATTTATGAGATTTCTTTCCGAAACTTATGTGTAATAAAAGTAAAACATCTAGGTTTATAATAGATTGAAGCGACACCATCTAGTGTTAGCCTGCCTTGTTAATCCTTGAATGATCATATTATATAACTGCGCACCGGAAAAGAAAAATATTCATATTCGAAAAAAAGTATACATGCATATCTCTAATAAACTGATATTTTTATTAAATGGGCTACTTCAGGGGATGTCTCATAAAAATTTGGAGAAATAATCCCTTAGGGTGGCAAAATGAGATAGGATGGGATTTTTTCAATATAACTATTTAGAACAAATTGAGATTGCGACATTTCTTAGTACACTCCAAAGGGTAAAAAACAACTTTTATTAATAAAAGTAGAAGCCGACAAACATCTAAAAGTAATATAAAGTAATTTCACTGGCATGGCATTAATTCTTGTATACATTTCTTCTTATCAGTTCACTTTTTATTGAAAGTAAGTAATCAGTTAAGTTAGTATTTATTATTGCAAAGAATTAAATGTGTAATAAAAAGTGTTATTATTTTAATCTTTATTGTCTTTATTATTATATGGATATAGAACAAAATAAATTTGACATTTTGATAACATAACCACATTATACCCATAAATAATTTTAATTAAACTTTTTAGTTAAGTAAATAATCGTCGGTACGCACTTTCTTTATGTAAATATTTAATCTTTAGGGAATAATTTCCTCAACGCTTCTTATACAATTATACAACTTGCACATGCAGTAAATAAATAGTTTTTGTTACTATAGTATCTTACATACACACCTTCAGTGCTTCCAGTCAGAGTATGCGCTATCCCTATAATGGGTAATTCTTCATCGGGTCCCGGAATCGCCGACGCTAATCGGTACATTCGTCTCCTACTAAACCAAAAGAATGCTATCCACAGCACAAGAGCATAGCACACCAACCAAAGAAACATAATAAAAATAACTGTTTAGAAACACTGCCAGAGGTGCGATGGTTGCATGAAGTACGAGTACTAACGCGTATTCTGCCCTAGGAAATTGTGTCGTGTTATATATAAACGTTTTGTCTGCTTACTTATGAAGGCAAAACTTTAAATACTTACTAGGAGTGAGGCTACATAGTGCGTTACGACAGCAGCTCTTAATGGTCGTTTCTTGATTGGTATTAAGTGGTAAGCAGCGTAGCCTCGACTTAATGCACCAAAAAGGTTATATATTTTTAATGAGTTAAAGGTATCTGAATTTGGAATTTTTCATACATTTAAAAATCATAACTTAAAAAAAAAATTAACTTTATCGCAAAAAGTCATAACAGCTTTTCTTTTCGTATTTCATCAAAAAATATAAAAACATACCTTTTCTCTTTCTTTATTATTTTAATGGGTCAAAAGTACCTATTTAAATTTGGGATATTTCAAACTTAATAGTTCATAACTCCGAAAATATTAGCTTTATCGTAAAAAGTATTTTTCTTTATATATTTTCATGAGTCAAAAGTATCTGAAAATATCTACTTTATCGTAGATAGTCATAAGCCTTTTTTATCGTATTTAATCAAAGAATATAAAAATTTGACAATAACAATAACTTGATATTGAAAAAAAATGTTTAAACAATATGGCACCGAGTTGTTCCATGGCAACATGTTTTTATGTCACCAGTAGGACATTTTGAAAAGAATCGCATAAAAAATTGAGGTGGAATAGTTTTCTGTAGTCATGCGCCGATTCCTCCTGTACTATTTATCATTCAACGCGACGTGACGCGACGCGACGCGACAGCGATATGATGCGTCCGCCTCACAACTTGTGTCAAGTGTCGCTCTGTCATCTAACACGCAACATCTGTAATAATATTCTTTTGGTAGTGAATAATTTCAATACCATGTATAGATAAATATATTTTTTTATAGAATGGGGTGACAAACGAGCACACAGACCACGTGATGATAAATGGGTGATGTGACCCATAGACATCTACTTTTATCTTTCATTAAGAATCCAAATTCATATACGTTATCACCCCCGAGGACTAAGATAGAATGCCTCGTTTCCAGTAAAAGGGGTCTCCCGTTTTCAACACTCACCATACGAACCACAGTAGCAGCTATTATACGCTGGTATTCTGTGAGAGCGTGCTACAACCATAATATAATAACAGCGTGGCTTTACCACGTAATCGCAAAAGAGCTATAAAAGCTTAATCTTAAAATCACCACTTGTTGCGCTAAATATTCTATATCTTAAAAAATAGAAACAGGAATGTACTGTTAGCAAATATCACAAAAAATCTGATATTGTGAATCCAATAATTATTATTCTTTTTTATTATAATTATTTTCACTGAATTTACGCAAATTAAAATGATTCTGTATAAAAGGAAGTGATTTGAGCGAGCGCTGTCCGGCGGGCGTTCGAGCGTCAACAAGCGAAAACACGGGTGTGACGGGACGAGGGAGATGATCGGGGATTATTGTAATGGCGGATAGGTACCTGTTAAGAACGCATAGTATTAAAGATGAAAAGTATATCATAACTAATTAGATGTATAATTGAAGTAGGAAGTAATTACCGAATATTAATAAACAAATATCTTTTATAAATATAGTAATTGTAGTTTTACTAACAGTAATTTTTCCATATCGTGGATACATTTACATACATCAATTGAACATGGACAAACATCCAGACACGGAACAATTTTTAGGGCCAGATTAACTTTTCATAACCATTGTTTGAATCTGCGGAATTAGTAGATGTTGATAGGCGGTATCCATATCGATAAGAAATCGATAAGGAGGCTTTGTATCGCTATCATACCGACAAACAAAAAAAAAGCTCAATAACGCAGCAGTGACGCGCAGAAGTATCTTCTGCGTTGCTTTACAACGCACAAACCGGTATGACCCTATCCTTAAATCCCAAAGAACAACTGGGGTCATAAAGATCATGATGTGATCTTTTAGAAATAAAATATGTTATTTTTTAACTTAAATATGCAGAACAAGAATTAAGTTGTTAATTAATTTTACGAACTTTCCTGGCTATAACAGGTGATTCTAACAGTTCTCTTTTCGTTCGGTTTAAATACATACATAGAATATCCTCTCAAAAAAAGAGAGGATGGGTCAAGCTAACTTTAACGGTTTTATGAAAAGAAAGAAATAAAAGGAGGTTTAATGGTATTTCTGACATAGTTTAGAAAGTAAGTAGGTATGTTAATACAATTTCAAACAAAGGGATCTCTGGGTCCCTTATTTACGTTAACTGTACAAAATTTTACATCACATTGTCGCTTTGAGAGAACTTAGGCAGTCACTGAAACATGAATTCATGCATAAAGAATTATACATTATTAATTTTCAAAACAACTATAAAAATTTTACGAAGATAAATAAATCGACATAATGTTTCAACTTTAAAACTTTTTATACGATTTTGGACCAGACATGGATTGTAGGCTAGTTAAAAAAATAAAAAGAATGAAATTACCCTATGCACTCTACGAAGAGTTAAGTTCAATTTATGCCACGAATTATCTATCTGAATTTTATGCCTCAATGCTCTTAATCCACTATAACCTGTGTGGTATAATTTGATAACGAAAAAAAATTTCGAATATATCACTATTTCGATAGATGTCCAACACATTTAATGTAAAGGCCCCCATTAACCAAAATTTTGTGAACAGAATCAGCACAGGCCAAACACGAGTCAAGTGGTCACCGTGTGGGGGCAGCACAAAAAGCCCCCGGAGGCAACTATGAGAAAAGCCAGAAAAACTTTTATTGCCTGATCTGCAACCGACAGACTAAACACGTGTTTAACTAAGAGTGTAAAACTAAGTGTTTAAATTTAATATATCTAGAGGTATACATATAAACGAAATTGTAATGTTTTGAAAATTGTATTGAGCTGAATAGGTTTTATTATATACATACATGCTATTACGATAAATCTAATTGAACAAGTAGTCTTGTGAGTTTTGATAAACAGGGCACAAGTCTTTTAACTTGTAAAATTCGCTCTGAAAACCGCCATGGATTCCCCGTAGGTACACTTTTGACGAAAATATTCTAAGTCCTAAACACTTGTAACTTTTTACTCACTTCACATGCACTACCTTTGAAAACTTAACAAGTCTAGCTCCTCTTGATAATAAGGTTCAAATTTGTACTCACGGTTTAATCTTCACACAAACTCCCACGTTACGTCGATGGCTCCCGGCGATGCTCCTCCCCCTCTGCGCCTGCTGCGATCCTGTGGGTGTCACAGGGGAACTCCGCCTCCTCAGCAGTCTGCTCCGGTGATGTCCCAAGAGTGCACCTCCCCCTCTGCGTATGCCGCGATCCGGTGGGTGTCACAGGGGAACTCCTCCCCCTCAGCCATCCGCTTCAGTGATATCCCAACACGGGCTCCGCCCACTTGCCTCGATGAATGTCCCAGGGGGCTGCTCTGCCTGCTGTAGCTCCATCCACTGATGCGGTTCCACTTGTGCCGGCAGCAACCTGTTAATATAGCTAGCGAGAAACCTTCAGTTAGCTTGCCGAAAATTACATTGCCCAAATTTTCTGGGGAATACACAGAGTGGGTGAGCTTTCGTGATTTATTCACTTCCTTAGTACGCAAGAACCCTGGTATCGACGATGTCCAAAAACTTCATTATCTTAAAAGTAGTGTAACAGGCGAAGCAGAACAATTATTGCGACATATTCCAATAACGTCGGATGATTATCAGGTCTGTTGGGAACATTTAGAAGGTCGCTACAACAATAAAAGATTTTTGGCTAATAATATTTTAAAGAGGTTAACTAGCCAAAAGATTTTAGTATCAGAGTCCGTGGGTGCCATTAAACAATTATTAGATACCAATAAAGAATGCTTACATGCACTAGAAAATATTGGCGTTAAAACTGGTGGCTGGAACACAATTATAATTTTTGTCATTACTCAAAAATTGGATCCCGAATCCCGCAAGCAATTGGAAAAAAGGGTTTCCGATTCTGTTCAGGATTTGTATAGTCTTAATCAAGTCAAGACGGTGTCGACTCTGCAAGAAAAACCAAAAATCCAAAAACAGCTAGTGATGCTAAGATTGTTGTCATAGCTGATGAGTCTGTGATGGGAGCTGAGAGAGTTAAGTTAAATCCGTGGTGAGCCATCACTTCCACAAGTAGTCACTTGTGTTTGAAACATGCTCGGGCAAGTCTTATTGGCTACCGCCCTAGTAAAGGTAGAGTCTCATAAAAAGAATTCTACCTTTGTCCTGAGATCTCTTTTAGATCAGGGAGACCCCTGGCATTGTTCATAAAAGAATCTGCTGTACAAATGTTGCCACTCAAAAGGATTCCTGGGGCAAGTCTTGTATGTGTTATTTTTATAACAACAAACGACTTTAGCTTCAAAGTCGTTTGTTGTTATAAAAGTTCAGTCCCGTCTTGACCCAAGCTTTACAATTACAGTTAAAGCTCACGTACTCAGCAGACTCACAACCTTGCTACCAAGTAGTAAGGTCGTTGTTCAAGTGTTGCCAGCACTCCCGTCAAATACGTTGGCGGATCCTACATTTGATAGGCCAAATAAAATTGAATTGCTCCTCGGGGCCGAGGTATGTAGTCAGATTCTAATGGAAGGTATAATCAGGGGCCCGTCTGATTCAATAGTTGCTCAACGCACGAGACTGGGCTGGGTCCTATCTGGCAGAATACCCAATCATAAGGGAGAGGTCATTGGTAGTGAAACGTGCATGAATGTTGTAAGTCTGCACACTATACAAACCAACGAGAACGAACTTCTCAAAAGATTTTGGGAATTGGAGTCCGAACCATCCCTGCATTTGAGCAGAGATGTGAGGAATTCTTTACTCAATCTACAAGGCGTGATGAGACAGGTAAGTATATTGTGCGATTACCATTCAGAAAGGGAGATCCACTATATCTACGTGGTAATATAAA